CTATTTTTTTTTATAATATATTTAATATATCTATATTTTGTGTGTGTGTATGCCAGTAATTGTTATGTATTTTGACTTTTGTGATAAAACATCTTAACATAGTAATAAATTCTTTGAAATATCAAGCGTTGTTGATTTTCAATTATTTTATAAGATAAATATTTTTCAATTAGTTAACAATGTTTTGTATATAATGAGGGGTGTGAATATTTGGGCATGAGCAAAGATTTGGAAACTGTGGTCATCTTTCATCCACACCCTTACCTATCAATTTCAATCATATATGTTATTTTGAAAGCTTTACTTTTGCATATATAAAACTTCGAGTTGAATTTATGCATCTTTTTCATGTCTCTTTGAAAAACAGATCGAAATACTGAAAGAGGGTAGCTTTTCATAAAATTACTTATTGCGCATAGGGAAATAAAGAACGTGATTAAAAGTGAGTCCTGACAAAGCAGATTGTTTAACAGAGCCAGACAAAATAAAATCAAAGTATTCATGACTTATTCATTGACGTCAATCATGTATTGACGATGATAATTGATATCTTATTTTCAGTTAAAACACGTCCGATGTATAATGCAGATTTTTATCAATTCTTTCTCTTCATCACGTTCTTCTTCCTTAAAATCTTTTGATTTTCTATAAAATCAAAAAAGAAGAAAAGAAAAGGATCATGTCGAATTTAAATTTAATTCTGACTTTTCGAATTTCGAAAAGAATCAAATGAGATGATCAAGTTTGTTCATTAACCTGATCTAAAATCAACTTTTTATCTTACCTACGACAAAAGTTTCTCTAGAACACTCGTTTTTTCTCTTTGCGTATTATGTTGGAAGAAATGAATGAGAGAAAGAGAGAGATATAAATAGAGAGAAAATCTACACTGAGAGTCATTTTGTTTTTATCGAAGACAAAAGAAGAAGAAGAAGATTATTTTATTAGTTACCTAATTCATCAGAAACAATCTTATTGAATGATGAGGAATATGAACGTATTTATCATTATTCTTCTGTTCATTCTCAGCAATGAAACATCAGGTACATCGCTTTATTTATCACGTACTGAATATTAGCTATTGCACAAAAATGACATTATTCGTTAGAGTTTTAGTTGAACAAAAGAGAGTGAAATAATAGATTGTAGAATTTGCCAAGAATTTCTATTATATATTGAAAAGTGATGGTATTGATCTCTTGCAGTGGTTATGTGAGACTTTTTAGGGTTTGAAGAATGAGTGTACTTTGAGTTTAAAACTATAAGTTGGAATATTGGTTGATAGTTTTAAAACGATTGACAACGTGAACATTACTGAAATCTTCTCTTAATATCAAATTTATTTGTAGATCTTGAAACGAGAAAGAGATACAAGACAAAGGAAAGAAATCTATTTCATCATATTGCATTATAAAATACAAAAAAAAGGATGAATTGACTTTTTCAAATGAAATCAAAATTCAAAAAAAAGAGAAGAGCAACAGATTAATGTAAATGAAAACAAATTTTTGTAAAACTATTTGATTATTTTGGTTTAAGATAAGATGTAGATTCATTTATCCCATACAGATTATTTTCATTATATAAAAAATACTATGATTATTTTTTTTTATCTTCAATGAGAATCATATTTTTTCAAGGATCAAACATAACTATTTTTCTTTTACAACAAAAAAAATCAATAAATAAAGTTGATCTTCTTCGATGAATTTAGTTCTCTCTTGGTTGATATTTATAAATCATCCGAGATAATACAACAACAATCATAGAAATCTTTTCAAAAGTAATCTCAATGAACTGATCGAAGAAAAAACTTAAATTAACAGTTTCATTTCGTTTACAATTCTTGTCTAATATTCTTTCTATTTTTGTTTTTAGCTCTTTCATTCAATCAGCCAAAGTTTTCTCCAACACCCATTTGGAATTCTAATGGAATTACTTTTGCTAATCAATCGATTGTTGGTGAAGAGCCTTGCGCTATTTTTGTGAATACAAACAACACAATCTATGTCGCTAATCAAGAAAATAACACAATTGTAATATGGCATGAAGAAAGTGTCAATCCAACAAACATTATTTTCGGTAATTTTACAAGACCCACTTCTCTTTTCGTGACATCAAATGGTGATATTTATATTGATGATAGTGACAAGAATGGTCGAGTGCAGAAATGGAGTGCAGAAACAAGTACATTTGACACGGTGATGAATGTCAACTCATCATGTTCTGGCTTGTTTGTCGATATCACTGATACTCTTTACTGTTCAATGATTGATGATGATCAAGTAGTGAAAAGATCATTAAATGATGCTGTGATAGCTTCTAATCATGTTGCTGCTGGAACAGGTATAGAAGGATCAGACTCAGATAAACTCAATGGTCCTGTTGGAATTTTTGTCGATATAAACTTAGATTTATATGTGGCAGATTGTGGAAATGGTCGGGTTCAGTTATTTCAAACAGGAGAATCAAATGGTATCACAGTAGCTGGAAGTACATCACTATATCCAACAATCAAACTTGAATGTCCCAGTGGAATTATATTAGATGCTGAGAAATATTTATTCATTGCTGATGTAGGCAATAGTCGCATTGTCGGTTCAGACATGTATGGTTTTCGATGTTTAGTTGGATGTTATGGACTGGGTTCACAATCCAATCAATTGAATTATGCATTTGATTTTAGTTTCGATCGTTCTGGAAACATGTTTGTTGCTGATGCAGCAAATCATCGAATTCAAAAGTTTTTATTGATGAAAGATTCTTTTGGTAAGTTGAAGAAAAGTTGAATGAAATGAAGAGATGTGAATAGATAAGTAACAGAAGTTAATAAAGATATCTCAATATAAAAACAAAAGAAAACAAAAGTGGTTGAGAAAGATTAATTAAAACAAAGTCTAACAAAATGTGTGTAAGGAAACGAAATATTCAAATGAAAAAGAGTCATATGTCAATCGTTTAAGGCAAACAACCTTCGCCTTTTGTTCAGATTAAAAAATACAGAAAGAAAAAGTTGTGTCCTTAATAAAGTGGTAGAAAGACCGTTCATGTTTCATTTTATATGTCTCGAAGAATATTTCATCAATGAAACAATTTTTATCGAAATGAAATGTCTTCATATTTTTTTCAATATAGTTTCAATATAAATTATTCTATGATTTAACTTTATATTTCATATTTCAATATGTTTAATTCAAGAAAAATAGGACAAATAAAATATCACAACTCTAATAGCTAATTTTTTTTCTTTTTTATATAAAAAATAAATTTAATTATTGTTTCTCATTAAGAGAAATAACTTTCAATATGAAACATTACAAAATGAATCTTCCATAAAGCAATGATGGATTAATTATATGTTTTTTCGATACTTATCATAATATTTGATTGCAGGGAGTAATATTGAATAATTCAAGACAATTTTTGTAATGTCATATATATGTTATTATTTCTATAATTGTAAACAAAGAATATTTTATATAGAAGAAAAAAGTTGTTTATTTGATAAAAGAAATAAAATCTCTTGAACTGAATTTATAACAAAAATATTTATTTGTTTAATCAAATTTATTTATTTAAAATGATCAATAAGAAAAATTGATTTTCAATCAAATCTATTCTAGATTGTTCTTAAATGAAAATTTTACATTAGTCAATTAAGAGAGTTTTGTTTACATTTCTTAACTTCAATGAGAAACAGTTTATCCGATTGATAAGAAGCTTTTTAGTTGTACAAATATTAATTTTTTTCTTGAAGATGTTTAGTTAATGATTGGTTTCGTTTTAAGAAAATTATTTATTCTTTTTACATGAAAATAAAGATTTTCTTGTTTTGTTCTTTATTTCATATGAAAAACGTTGAAATTTGTAAAATACTATTAAGATTACAAAAAAAGATTTGTTTTATTTATATTAAACAAAGACGAAATATTATGATTTTTAATGAATCTTTGAAATTCTTTCAAAGAAAAACTCTTTGAGCAAGAATGTATATGAAGAACATCTATAGAGAGAAAAGAAGAATTTTTGCGGATCATAATAAATCGTATTTTTTCTCATTTTCATTCAGTATCGATATGACGTGTAGTGATATAATTTTTTTTTATTTTCTAATGAAATTTAGTAAAATAAATCGAGTGATATTTCCAGTAATAGAGATAACTGAGATAACATAGTAATATTTATGGTTTTTCTCTAACTTCATCTCTGATTTGACTTTAAATTTCTGTCAAAAGAAAATTTTAGAAACATTGAATAAATGTTTGAAAACTGAAATTTGTGTTTGAATAAATATTTCAAAGAAAAGATCTGCAATAACATATCTGCACAATTATATTCAAAAAAACCAGCTTGATAATTAAAATTGACTTTCGAAAGACGAATGAAGCATTTAAAATTGTAAAGAAAAATATTTGATTAATAAATGATTCCTTTTATTCAGCTATTTTCTTTGCTACAGTTTATTCAGAAATTCCACAAGATTTTTAACAATATCACAATTTACATTTCATGTTAAAATTAATAAAAATCATTCCTAAAATCAATGTTAATAAACATTTCTAAATGTCTTTTTCATCAAAAATTTCTTTGAAGAAATTTTATTTTTCTTTTACAAATAAATAAATTAACAACTTTATTTCTTTTAGTCTTTCTCTAATATTCTTTATGTTTTTCTTGTTTTTAGCTCTTTCATTTAATCAACTAAAGTTTTGTTCAACAGCCACTTGGAATTTCAATGGAATTACTGTTGCTAACCAATCGATTGTTGGTCAAGATCCTCATGCCATTTTTGTGAATACAAATAACACAATCTATGTCGCTAATCAAGAAAATAACACAATTGTAATGTGGCATGAAGGGAGTGTCAATCCAACAAAGATTATTCGCGGTAATTTTACAAAACCCACTTCTCTTTTCGTGACATCGAATGGTGATATTTATATTGATGATGGATTCAAGAATGGTCGAGTGCAGAAATGGATAACAGAAACAAACACCTTTGTTACAGTGATGAATGTCAACTCATCATGTTATGGTTTATTTGTCGATATCACTGATACTCTTTACTGTTCAATGAATGGTGCTGATCAAGTAGTGAAAAGATCATTAAATGATGCTGTGATAGCTTTCAATTATGTTGCTGCTGGAACAGGTATTGGGGGATTAGATTCGAATGAACTGGGACTTCCTCGTGGAATCTATGTCGATGTGAATTTAGATTTATATGTGGCAGATTGTGGAAATGATCGAGTTCAGTTATTCCAGCCGGGAGAATCAAATGGCATCACAGTAGCTGGATATACATCACTATATCCAACAATTACACTTTTGTGTCCCACTGTAATTATATTGGATGCTGAGAAATATTTATTCATTGTAGATAGTGGCAATGGTCGCATTGTTGGTTCAAGCTTGAATGGTTTTCGATGTATAGTTGGATGTTATGCAAGTGGTTCACAATCCAATCAATTGCATGATCCATTTAGTTTGAGTTTTGATCGTTCTGGAAACATGTTTGTTACTGATCAATCAAATCATCGAGTTCAAAAATTTCAATATTTCGAAGAATCATGTGGTAAGTTTAGAATGCTTGAATAGTCTCTAATATCATTTCAATAAATATTTATTAAGAGAACTAAAAAGAAAAATTATTAGAGGAGATGAGAATGAAAATGAAAGTTCTTATGAATTTTGAACTGAATTATTGAGTAGCTAGATTCAGGTATCAAGTTTCACCCTGCTATACAACTGTCATAAAAAAAAACATGTTTGTTTCTAATTTGCTACAAACGTCAATCGATAATATTATCGTCATGTTAGTTGCATGATATACATGGAAGTTAGAATGTCTATGTATTTAGCAGGAAAGGCAGAGATGAATTTAGCCCTTTCTGTTAAACTTTCTTTATCAGTTTTCTTTGATTCACCATTATCAGCGCTCACTTATCGCTGTTGACTGTAGAAAATAATGAACAAAATGATTTTATGAAATGGAAGACACTCATGAGAAGTAAGGTTTTCATCGTAATTCATCAAATCTTTATCGAACTAAAAACACTTCGAAAGTAAATATTGACGTGAAGAAAAACTTTTCGCACCGAAATCCATATTTGAGAATAAAGAAATTTTCACAAATTGTTTTAAAATCAACAAAAGTCGTTTCGCATAGTTGTTCAATGCACTTTCAAAGTCGTAGATATAAAACATCTGTCATGAGAAAGAGAAATGACCCTATGCTCGATTATTAACTACAACTCGTGATGCAATCGTAGAGATTCAGAATTTCACCTTTACTCTCGAGATGAGAGAACGATTATGTTATATTTGTGGTCATGATTTTGTTTAGTGAACGAGAATAGAATCAGGATCACCACAAAGGAGTGACATTTAAATGTAGATCAGTGTCTTCATAGAAAAATGTCAAAAACGTGAATAAGGAAAAAGTTTCATCTTTACCTAGTTATTCACATACGCTTTATTAAAATAAAAAATAGTTAAAGAGTCGCTTTTGAGATATTTTAGCAATGAATCGAGTATCACTTCCAACCGAAATTTTCTTGATGATGTCATGCCATACTCGTAGATTGACTAGAACTTTATGAAATAGTTTATTAGATAGTCTATTGTTATGCTTACGTTATTGATATCGACAAAAAAAACTAATGTTCTGCATTACATATTTATAAAATAAAAAAGTGTGAAGATAGAGATGATAATGTAGAAGTCATAAATTTGTAAGTCTATGATTTACCAGACTCTCTTAGTCCAAAATTATACTCGTTTTTGTATACGAGGTTTTATAACATTACTTTATTGTAATTGTCACAACGTCTCTTGGAAAAATACGTGGGGATTTTAAAGGGTAACATGAACAATTATTGGAAGGACGCTAAGTAGATATTTTATTTGATGTTTTTCTTTATTTCTCCATTAAAAGCACTGCTCTAAAACAAATGATTCAACTCTCGTTAGTACACAGAGTGAAAAGCAAACTAAGAATCCATGAAATCATTTGTTTTCTTTATTCTAAATACAAATACTCATTGTTTTTTTTTTCATTTAATAGATACCTCATTATTATTAATGAAATCAGTGTATTTATCATCGTTAACACTAAATAGTTCAATTTATTTTCAAGATTGTTCTGAGTTAGATTCGTACTATGAAGTGATACAAATAAACGTCACTATAACTGGTTATTATACTTTTCAAATCAACAGCGAGATGAAAACCACTTATGCTTATGTCTACACAAATAACTTCAATCCACTCGATGTGTCCAAAAATGTGCTGAACCGTAGTGGAGACTTTAGTAATCAAGGTCAATTTCAGCTCACAGCTGTTCTCGAAGCTGATATGAAATACGATTTCGTTATGACAACATCTTCTCCGAATATAACAGGAAAATTTTCAATTCAAGCATCTGGCCGAAGCAATATTCATTTCAATCGTATCTGTGAGTATATATAGTATTTTAATAAATAATCAGCTGTACATATCCGTCATAGGTAGAAAATAATCTTAGATAAACGCAGTCTACAAAACGATATACAGATATTTCTGTTCGATAGAGACAAAGATTCATATCACTTCCGGTCGCTTTCGATAAATGTATCTGAGAGAGAAAGCAATATTTCAAATTTTTTGCATTTATTTCCATATTATACAAAACTGAATCGATTTTCTTTTTCGTTAGTGAATATTTCATCAGTTCTTCAAACAGTTTATACATCAGAATTAACAACGAACAGTTCAACGTATTTCGTTGTTTGTGGGGGGTCAAGTTCTTACTATGAAGCGATACAAGTGAATGTTGGTAGAAGTGGTCTTTACACTTTCTTTAGCAAAAGCAATATGGGCTTATACGGCTTTATTCACAAATATTATTTCAATCCCTTCAGTCCATTTGAAAATCGAATGGATAACTATGATAAAAGCTGCCGATTACATCAGTTTAGATTCACATTTGTACTTGAGACTAGTATCACATATATATTGATTGTGACAACACGGCGTTCTAATATAACAGGCGCATTCTCGATCTTTGTATTCGGTCCAAATAATGTTGATCTCAAGAATATCAGTAAGTATTTGCACTACAACTATTAAATGAATATCTGTTAGCGTTAGCATGAGTACTTAGTTGAGTTTGGCATATTCAAACATAAAAACTTGTTT